GGGGGGGAGCAACATTTATTGAGCAATGTCTCTAGTGCTTTTCAGGGAGCTGGCTATGCAAAGCCACACACAGTAACCAAAGTGATCAGTAAAGTATGCAGAAGACCAGTCACACACGCTCTGGCCCCAAGGGCCGATCCACCATCACTCATCTTCCTCTTCTATGCAGGGGGACTTAGCTCCATTAATGGGCTCCAGACAGACAAAGCCTGTATTGCTTAACAACCCTCTATCCAAGACCACCCTAAAAGGCCAGCAACCCTCCGCCCAAGCTGGCTGTGTGATATCCTTTGAGAGAAAGGACATCAGGTCTTTTGTTAAGCTTCATCATGGTTTACTGTGCCCCTGCACATGGATTGGTTTTACAGTGCTGGACTAACTCCCTTCCCCAGAGAGGCAGGTGACATGACACTCCAATTGTCTCCACTTTGAGAAGCAAGTATTTTCTAAGAAGTTCTCCAGAGAAAACCCATGAGACAATTTCAACATTACTTGTTCTAAGAAAGGGATTTCAGACGCGTAAGTCTAATCTGTGGTGCCCTTAGGCAGTCCCACTTTTGCTTTTTAGTTTGTGGATGTTCGCCTACTCCCTGCCCCCACACCAAATCTTGAAAACAACTTTCTTGTTGGCTTGCCAAGCTATACTATATTGCAGGAAATAATAACAACAACAACAACAATAATAATGTCTATAGGCCGATCTTACAGGTATAAACCATGTTTTAAAACAGCTGCACCATAGTGCAGACTGGGGCCTGGGCATCAGCAAACCTAGTTATTGCACTCCCAACTCCAGCCCACCTTGAGATTCCCATAGTACCTCTGCAGGGCCCTGCACTCCTTGAGGGAGAGAAGCCAGTCTACTGAGTACAATCCTGGCACAAAGAGGACTCCAGCCAAGTATGTAGGGTCTGTGTCAACTGTAGAAGTCTTTGAAGCAAGGGCTATTCTTTCTACCCCCCACTGGCAGTTCCATAAAGAAACAAAGGACTGAATAGTAAATCTCATGGTTTAGATGGTTTCTAGGCTCTCCTGGAAGATTCGTTTTAGCATAACTAAAAACCATTTTATTAGGCACCAGCTGGATCATTCCTGAAATCCTAGTTACTCAAAAGGCTGAGATCTGAGAATTGGGGTTCAAATCCAGCCCAGTCAGGAAAGTCTGTGAAATTCTTATCTCCAACTAACCACCAGAAAGGTAGAAATGGAGCTGTGGCTCAAGTGGTAGAATACTAGCCTTGAGTGAAAACACTCAGGGACAGCCCTCAGGCCCTGAGTTCAAGCCCCAGGACCAACACATAAAACAAAAACATGAAACAGCTTTAATCCCCACATTATTTACTCCTTCAAAGCAAGAGAAAAAACAGAGATCAAATTTATTTTGAAAATTTAAATCCACAAGGAAACAGGGGATGCCCAGAGAAGGATTTAAGTCTTGCACTGCCTCCCTGGCCTGGTTCTTGATCACCAAATTGAGGGGGGAAGGTACATTCAGGGTGAGGAATTAGGCCTCAGTTACTCTAACATTTATGAACACATTCTGGCAGGTGCTCTGCCAGGCAGTCTATAATTAGCAAGTACACCTCAAAAACTTAAATGAACTCAAAGGGTTTCAGGTGCCAACAGACAGTGCCCAGCAACAGCACGGAGGACAGAGTGCAGGGAGGCCAGTCGGGGCTGGGCGCCCTGCCACAGCGCACACGCCAGTTCTGCAAAGTCTTTTTTTCAAATCTCTAAAGGCTTGACCTCAACACCTGCTGCACTTCCGGAAGACAGACGGGCTCTGGGGCGTGCTGCTGTACTTTCTAGGAACAACCGCATGTGTGCACATGCACACACAGAGGCTGGCTAGCTGCCAAGGCGGGGGCAGCCCAGCTGCCTCAGGCCTGAACTTTCCCAGTGGCGGCAGGGCGGGATCCCGCTATGAGCTGACTCAGCCACCAACGTGGCACTGTGCCAGCTGCACAGCCGTGGTGGGGGCTGCCAGCAGCTCACAGATGTTTTGCTAAACCAAAGAAATCAGCCAGGAGGTGGGGTTCAGGCTGACAGCCAAGGAGCTGTGGTCCTGGAAGCTAGATTCTTATTCCAGGCCTCCCTCCACCACAGTCTCCCTTGGTGACCGAGGGCAGGGAACCCTCTGAGCATCCATCTCAGTACTTGCCCTGCTTCAGAGGAAGAGGCAGCAAAGGATGATACTGTGGGCACAGGCAGCTCCTGCCCCAAGACTAGCTCTTAACCCTCGTGTCCTGGGAGGAACTTTCATAAATTTTGTTCTGCAGTGAAGGCAGGGGCTCAGGGCAATTCATAATGCTACCAAAAGATCATAAAGGAAAGACACATAGGGGTGGGGTTTGAACCCTATTGTTCACTCACTGAAGCACCTACAACAAACTCTGCTGTTGAAAACTAAGCCAACAGCAGACATGTTCCACTTTTCAGGTTCTAAAAGGTGTTGGACCTGGAACTTGAACTCCGGTCCTAGGCTCTGTCACTGAGCTTTTTCTGCTCAAGGCTAGTGCTCTACCACTTGAGCCACAGCTCTACTTCAGGTTTTTTCGGTAGTTAACTGGATATAATAGTCTGATGGTCTCTCCCGCCCTAGCAAGCTTCAAACCACGACCTTCAGATCTCATGGCTTCTCAGTCGCCTGTGAAGGCTATAGCTCTTCACAAATGGTTTGTTTCTACGTATCATTGGACCACACACAGGGAGTGTGTTATTCAGAGTACCCACACATGAACGGCTTGCCTTGGATTCCCTGCTGGAAATACCAACTGACCCATAACAAGTCAACTTACTGTCCTCACACTAAGGAAAAACTGTACTGTAGGTCACTAAAAAAAGAGAAGTCAAGCCTGGCACTGGTGGCTCACATCTGTAATCCTAGCTATTCAGGAGACAGATCTGAAGATTGTAGTTCAAAGCCAGCCAGGGCAGGAAAGACCGTAAGACTCTTATCTCCAATGAACCACCAGAAAACCAGAAGTGGTACTGTGGCTCAAAGTGGTAACATGCTAGTGGTGAGTGAAAAAGCTCAGGGACAGCACTGAGACCCTGCGTTCAAGCCCCATGACAAAGAAAGAGAGAAAAGAAAGAAAGAAAGAAAGAAAGAAAGAAAGAAAGAAAGAAAGAAAGAAAGAAAGAAAGAAAGAAAGGAAGAAAGGAAGAAAGGAAGAAAGGAAGAAAGAAGGAAGGAAGGAAGGAAGGAAGGAAGGGAGAAAGAGAGAGAAAAGAAAAGAGCCAAAGGCTTGGCTGAGAACAGCTTCCTAGGCTTCCTTCCTCCAAATAATTCATTAGGACTCTTCAGCTCTGCAGTCTGCTTTCTTTTTTATTCTTTTTTGTTGTTGTTGTTGGTCATGGGGCTTGAACTCTGGGCTTGGCCACTGTCCCTCAGCTCTTCAGCTCAAGGCCAGCACTCTACCGCTTGAGCCACACCGCCGGTGGCTCCGGTTTTCTAGTGGTTTATTGGAGATAAGAGTCTCATGGACTTTCCTGCCCAGGCTGGCTTTGAACCTCGATCCTCAGATCTCAGCCTCCTGAGTAGCTAGGATTACAGGCGTGAGACACTGGCGTCCGGCTCTTTTTTATTCTTTTGTCGATCGTGGGCCTGAACTCTGGGCCTGGGTGCTATTTCTGAGCTCTTCAGCTCAAGGCTAGTGCTCTACCACTTGAGCCACAGCACCACTTCTGGCTTTTTCTGCTTATGTGGTGCTGAGGAATTGAACCCAGGGCCTCAGGCATGCAAGGCAAGCGCTCTACCACTGAGCCACCTTCCCAGCCCCCTCTTTTTTTTCCTTTTAAACTTTTGTTGTTGTTGTTGTCTTTTTTGGTACTGGGACTAGATCTAAGATGCTGCACTTGCTAGGCAAGTACTTTGCCACTGAACTACATCCCAGCCTGTCTTTTTGTTCTGAGACAGGATCTCACTATGTAGTTCAGACTGACTTCCAACTCAATAATCCTTTAGATTCTACCTCCCGAGTACCACTGTGTGTACTACCATGACTGGCTACAGTCTGCCTTTGTAGTTAAAGCTCTCTAGTAGCTGGGCACTGGTAGCTCACACCTGTAATTCTATCTATTCAGGAGGCTGAGATCTGAGGATGATGGCTTGAAGCCAGCCCAGGCAGGAAATTTCTTGAGACTCTTATCTCCAATTAACCAGCAAAAAGCCAGAAGTAGAGCTGTGGCTCAAGTGATAGAGAGCTAACCTTGAGCAAAGAAAGCCCTGAGTTCAAGCCCCAGTATCTCCCCCATAGCATTCCCTTCTAGAATACATGAGAGGTTGGACCCTTAGCACCACAAAACGACAAAAGAAAACTCCAATGCTGATGCTAACGCTATGCCATATTTAAAGTCACTCAGCTTTCCTTGGCTTTTAAAAGGGAATCTTTAGGTCTGTCCTTCCCTCTTTCTAAGCAGTATCTGTAAGTGTGAAATGGACCCATGTCTACAAGACTTTCTTAGGAAATACAAGAGTATTTCTGATCAGTTATGCTCAGCTACAAAACAACAAATTGTCATTAAAAGTATGATCTTGAGCTGAGAGCTTGTGGTTCATGCCTGTAATCCTAGCTACTAAGGAGGCTGAGATCTGAGGATTGTGATTTGAAGCCAGCCCAGGCAGGAAAGTGTGTGAGACTCTTATCTCCAATGAACCAGCAAAAAGCCAGAAACAAAGTCTAGTGGCAGAGCACTAGACTTGAGCAAAAGAAGCTCAGGGACAGTGCCCAGGCCCTGAGTTCACTCCTTAGTACAGGCACAAAAAAAAAAAAAAAGATTGTAATGATAAAAATTCTTTTTGGTGCTGAGGACTGAACCCAGGCCTTGTGCATACTATGCTTACTAGTGAGCATCACCACCACTGAGCTATACACACCTCTAGCCCAAGCAAACAAATATTGAGGAAAATCTTGGCTGTGGATGAGTGAAGTCGGGTGAGAAGACTCAGAATAGCACATGCTTCAGAAAGGATAGCCTCCCACAGCGCACAGACTGACCTGCTTAAGCTGCTCATCCAGGCTCCAGCGTGGCTGCCCACCTGTGGAGATGGAAGGTGGTGCCGTGGACGCATCTTTGGTAGGGTCTTCTTTAGCTTGGGGGTACCGGTGTTGGGAGCCCTGGCGCTGGAAGCAGACTGAGCACAGGGGGTGCTCGGGGATCTTGGCGAGTTGCTTTCTGCACGTGGAAATACTTGGCAGCAGCCTGGGCCTCTTTTTCAGCCGTCTCTGCCACATCATCATCCCCATCCTCATCCTCCAAGCCACCTTCTTCTTCCTCAGGCTCTGAGTTCACACTGCTCTGTTCAAAACCTCGGGCCACTGGTGTGACTGGTGGAACTCTGGCTAAAGGACCCAGGGCAGGACTGCCAGGAGGTCTTCCAGGCATGGCAGAAAGGACAGGTGGCTGTGTGGCTAGCTTTTGGGCATACAGGAATGGGGCCTCTCTCATCTGTGTTCCCTGCTTCTCTCTGGCATCCATCTGCAAAGGAGCCGAGTGTGGCAGCTTCTGTGGCTTCTGCTGCTGATGCAGTGGCTCCATTACTACCTTAAGCTTCACCCACAGACTGGCATGGCTCTGAACCTGGGCACAGCTTAGCAGGCACACTGGGTCTTAATTGAAGCAATCAGTCAACTACAAAGGAGGAAGGAGGAATTAAAAAGAAAATACACAACTAGGTAAAACAGTTACAAAAAGCTTTCTTTTCTCCAGTAAAGATTATGGATTCTGAACACCTCTTCTAATCCTGAGCTGGCAGGGGTTGGAAGTGAGTAAGGAAAGATGCAAAGAAGAGGCACAGGATTGAAGAGGGGAAAATAGGGAGAACCTCAGTAGCGGTAGACTATGGATGCCTAGACTATGGATGCCTTTTGAAGAAGCAAATCTAGATACTCTGCTGACATATGTGCCGATCTCTTTTTCTCCCTTTACATTATCAAATATTCATAAGCTTGTTACTGAAAAGTTAACTGGGACTGCACTATGTGTTGCAACAGGAATTGTACCTATGAAAACCACATTAACAAAGGAAAAAAAGGGCCTGCCTGGAAAATGTTTCTATTCCCAGGACCATTAGAAAGATTTTACCACCCAAGCTAGACCTACAGCCACCGGAGGCCAGAATGACTTCTTACAGGAAAAGCAAAATGGAGTGAATGACTCCTGGGTTTAAACTCTGTAAATTTCCCAGATCAAATTGCCAGCCTGTTTGCTGAGTGGACTGAACCAGGCTAACTGGACATTATAGCCTCAAAAAAAAAAAAAGCATCCAATTTCAACAACATGAAAGAAACACTTAAGGAGGCCAGAGTTTCAAATTGCAATCCTTGCTCAAAAACAAATGGGGGTAGAGGGGGGGAATTCCTCTAGAGATTTTAAAGTTAATTAATTTGAAACAGGTATCAACACTGTCTAAACAAGTTAATGCTTCTTTTCTTTTTAAACAGAAATGACTAAGTACATCTCCCCACATCCCATTTCTTGAGGATTCACTTCTTTATATTCTTCCAGGAATACAAAAACGGCTTTTCAGGTCAAAAATAATCTGGGGGCAGGTTTATCTGCATTCTTACCCATCAGTCTCCAAACACCTACCCCTTTCACACCCTCTCCACCTCCTACCACCTCTCTAGCCACTCCCCCTCACCCCCCAACTTTAGTTGTTTTCTCTGCAAGTTTTCCACAAGTGAATAGATTACCATGCAAAGCAAATTTTAGGGTGAACAGGCTAGCAACCTGGTATGCAATTTTTGTCATCACATGAAAGAAGAAGCTGCATTTCACAGGTTCGGACTTGATAACTGTATCATTCCAATGTTTTAGGAATGGGTTGGAAGTGTGTGTGTGTGTGTGTGTGTGTATGTGTGTGAGTGTGTTTAGCACCTTTCACAATTTCATGGGGGGGAAGTAATCATTACTCTAGCAACAAAAACAGCTTGGATTTATTAATTTTTTCTAGTGTTAAAAAAGTTCAATTTCTAGCACTAGGCAAAAAAAGAAAAAAGTAGAGAGGAAGTATATTCTCATTTTCTGTTTATCTTAGCAGCCCTGGTTGTGCCTTTGTATTCTGCTAAATATTCAAATTTCAATTCCCGCAGTTTAGAAAGTATGAGCTTAACAAGGCCTAAAAAGAATCATACTGACATTAAACCTAGTTGGTGAAAGTGGTCATTTAAAGGGAAGAAAAAAAAAAACAAAACGATACGGGGCTAAGAAAATTAGAACAATACCAACAATTCAGTGGTCAATTATAATGATTACAGCTGATCAATCACAATCGCAATAATTTTTCAACGAATTCCTGCCAATCACACTGAACAACTGCTTCTTTTCCAGTGACACCATCGGCTCAGCATGCTGTCCCCCGCGGAGGGGAGATGGGCCAGGGCCGCTTCAGTGAAGCCGGGACGACCCAAGCCTACAACTCAGTGCCTAAGTACTGCAGCAGGCAGGAAGGGGGGGGGGGGGGGTTCCCAAGAATACCACCTGACTACCTTTGCAGCAATTCTCGGAAATCTGAACCACTTCACCCCTCATTCCTCCTCAAGTTCCTGGACCTGTAAACCCCGGGCTTTCTACTGCTTGCAGTTTGGTAGCTCTTCAGGCCCGGGGCCCCTCCCAGCCTCGGTTCCCGGGTCCCGCCACATCTCCCCACCCTCCAGGTCTCCCCTTCCCACCCTCCAGGACCCCCTTCTCATCCTCTAGTCCCCCTTTTCATGCTCCAGGACCCCCTTCCCAACATCCAGGACCCTTTCGTATCCCCCAGTCCCCTCTCCTAGGACCCCCTTCCCATCCTCCAGCCCCCCCTCCCCTACTCCAGGGCCCATTCCCACCCTGTCCTCGGTTTGGGGGGGGGTCCCTCACGCCCCCCACCCCCTCCTCCCCTCACCCCACTCCTCGGCCCCGGCGGCCCTCACCTTTCCCACCCTCCCCCGTCCCTCCCCGCGCCCCGGGCCCTCCCCCCCCCCCCGCCCCTCGCCAGCCTCACTTTTCCTCAGCGGTACCGGCGCCTCCGGGACACACCTGCCCTCTCCGCCCTCCCCGGTCCCCGCCACCTGCCGCGTCTCGGTGCCCGCCGGCGGCGCGGAGGGTGTTTCCGCGCGGCTTACCTGCGCGGGGCGCCCCGGGCCCGGTCAGCTAGCGGGGAGGAGGCGGCCGCCCAGGCCCCGGCGCCTCAGCGACGTCGCCGACTCCTCGGCAGCCGGGAGCCACAGCCGGGGCGGGGCCCTCACCGGAAGCGGCGCCGCGGGGCCTGAGGGGCCGCCGGCCCGGGGCGGGGCTCCAGGAAGGGGTGTGGCCCGGTACCGGAAGACGCTAAAAATGGAGCGGGGGGCGGGGCGAGACGGAAGCTCCGCCCAGGAACGGCCCCGCCCACCCAGTGGAGAGCGGAAGTGGCTTGAGGCGGGCGGAAGGCTCAGCCAGTAGGGAGGCGGAACAGAAAGGACTTCCGGGGGCGGGGGGGGGGCTCCTGCGCGGGGAGTCGGGAGGCGCTCGGCGGGGTGCGCGCGCGCGGTCGCGCGTCCTGGGGACTTGCGGTCGCCGACGGGGCTGGCGATCCTCCCCGGGGGAGGCCGACCTTTCTCCGGCGTGGCGGCTTTTCCCGGGACGCCTGCGCGTCTAGGGCCGAGCCCGGATCGTCCCCTCGGAGGCCGCGCCCTCCTCACCCCAGGCCCCCCCGGGATCTGTGTCCCGACCATCGGGTCCCCAGCGCCCCCTGGCAGACGTGAGGGCCGCTGGCGGCTGTGCACCTGCCGCCCGTGCCGGCCGTGTCGGAGCTCGGGTGGAGAAGCCATTCCACGGCGGGCCTCGCCTCTGACCAAACCCCGGGCCTGGTCACCTGAACCTCGGGCTCGTCGTGAATCGGTTCGTACGGCCACGCACAGCCTGCAGATCCTCTGGGCTTCGCTGCCGACTTCTCTTTTCTTTGATCGGTTGCGAGGCTTGAGCTCAGCCTGGGCGCCGTCCCTGATCCTCTTTGTGCTCAGAGCTAACGCTCTAGCTAGCGCTGGAGCCACAGCACCACTCCCCCATCTTTGAGGTTGGAGATTAGAGTCTCACGGGAACATTTCTGCCCGGGCTGGCTTTGAACCTTGATCCTCAGGTCTCAGCCTCCTGGGCCACCGGCACGCGGCCGTAAATATTCTTTCAACCTTATCGGAACCTCTAATCTGCCAGAGCCCCTACTTTCTCTGTTAACCTCCCCCACTCATTTAAGGATACATAATTCTGATTATAATCCCACTTGGACTCATGCCCTAACGCTCCCCTTGTCTCTAACTAAGCCCCCCAACCCTACAAGGACCAACAGATCTCTCCATACTTGCACCTTGTCATAGAAAATGATCCTGTAGTCAGGCCTGACAGTACCTGCCTGCAATCCCAGCACTCACTGGGGCAGGCTGGGTGTGGGGACTCCTGGTGGTAATCTTAGCCATTCTGGAGGCTGAGATCTGAGGATCACAGGTTTGTAGGCCGCTGAAGCAAGCAAGCGCAAAGGATTTCTCCCTTAACCAGCAAAAGGGTGGAAATGGAAGTGTGGGTCAAATGTTAGCACATCAGCCTTGAATGGAAAAGCTGAGGGACAGCACCCAGTGCCCTCAAGGATCTTTACTAGTTTGGGGTACAGGAAAACAAATGAGTGTAAGGGATGCCCATGAAGAACAAAGGAGGGTGGGGATTGAGGGGATTGACCTGAGGCATGGGGTAGCAGATATTTTTAGATGTTAGAGAACTCTGTGATAAGGAAGGAGCTTTCAAACAGAGGCTGGGAATGACTTGATAGTAGAAAGTGTCTCCGTTGAGGAGACCAAATTTAAATTCCCCAAGGCAGGAATGGAAAGGAGATCCCTACGGTTAACACAGAGTATATGGGATAGGGCTGGAAGATGAGATTGGAGCAGTACCAAGGGGCCAAGCATGTGGGACCTTAGGGGAAACAACGATGCCAATCACCACCAAAACCTCTGTTTACTATAGAGAATTTATTTTAGAGAAGAGTAGCTTTGATGGGAGCCTGTGGCTCACGCCTGTATCCTAGCCACTCAGGAGGCTGATCTGAGGATCATGATTCAAAGCCAGCCCGGGCAGGAAAGTCCCTGAGATGCTTATTTTTTAATTTTTATTTTATTTTATTTTTTGGGTCCGGTCGTGGGGTCTGAACTCTGGGCCTGGGCGCTGTCCCTCAGCTCTTCAGCTCAAGGTTAGCGCTCTACCACCTGAGCCACAGCGCCACTTCCGGCTTTTTTCTTTTTGTTTATGTGGTGCTGAGGAATTGAACCCAGGGCCTCAGGCATGCAAGGCAAGCGCTCTACCACTGAGCCACCTTCCCAGCCCTCCCTGAGATTCTTTATCTCCAGAAAACTGGAAGTGGCGCTGTGGCTCAAGTGGTAGATTCTTGCCTTGAGCTGAAGAGCTCAGGGACAGCGCCCAGGCCCAGAGTTCAAGCCCCACAGCCGACCAAAGTTTAAAAAAAAAAAGTAACTTTGAAGCAGGGTGCTGGTGGCTAACAGCTATAATGCTAAGCCATCTTACTGTATAAAATCGCCCTTCCAGGGCTGGGAAGGTGGCTCAGTAGTAGAATGCTTGCCTTGTATACATGAGGCCCTGGGTTCGATTCCTCAGCACCATATAAGCAGAAAAAGTCAGAAGTGGTGCTGTGACTCAAGTTGTAGAGTGGTAGCATTGAGCTGAAGAGAGCTGAGGGACAGCGCCCAGGCCCAGAGTTCAGGCACCACAACTGACCAAAAAAAAAAAAAAGCTCCCTTTTTCTTGCTGATACTGGCACTTGAATTTAAGATCTTGTATTTGCTAAGTAGGTGCCCTAACCTACTGTTTGAGCCATGCTTCCTGCCAATGTTTTTTTTTTTTGGGTCCGGTCATGGGGCCTGAACTCTGGGCCTGGGCGCTGTCCCTTAGCTCTTCAGCTCAAGGCTAGCGCTCTACCACTTCAGCCACAGCGCCACTTCTGGCTTTTTTCTTTTTGCTTATGTGGTGCTGAGGAATCGAACCCAGGGTCTCTGGCATGCAAGGCAAGCGCTCTACCACTGAGCCACCTTCCCAGCCCCCCTGCCAATGTTTGAAGCTGCTTTTTTTGTTTTTAGCTTGGTCATTATGCCATTTGACATCTAGCTAATTGCCAGGCATTACGAGTATGATCTTTTTAGACCAATTAACCTGTCAGTCATCAGATATGAATCAGACCCTTCTAGAATATCCAATTTCTACTGAGCTGACACTATAGCTCCCCTGCAAACCCACTAAATGATGAAAAATGTTTGGCTTATCGTTGTTTGTATGTGCTTTCCTTTTTTTTTTTTTTTGAGGCGGTAATGGGGTTTAAGTTCATGGCCTTGTGGTTGCTAGGCAGATGCTGTACCACTTGAACCATTCCTCCAGCCCTTTTTTTAATTTTTCAAATAAGGTCTGGTACTTTATCCTGAGGCAAGCTTCAGTCTTCAGTTCTCTTACCTAAGCCTCCTACATAGCTAGAATGACAAGTGTGCACCACCATGCCTGGCTTGTTGGTTGAGAAAGGGTATTATTAACTTTTTGCCTGAACCACAATCCTTCTGATCTCTGCTCCTGAGTAGCAGGGATTACAGGTGTGAATTGCCATGCAGGGGTGCTTTGTTGTTGATAGGGTCTTGCTAGATAGCTCAGATTAAGAGCAAACTCCTTATCTGCCTCCTCCAATCTCCTCTGAGTGCTAGGATTCCAAGTGTGTAATAACCACACTCAGCATCAGTAAGTTTTGAGATGGTTTTCTTTTCTTTTTTTGTTGGTTGCGGGGCTGGAACTCTGGGCCTGGCTGCTGTCCCTCAGCACGAAAGCTCAAGGTGAGCTCTGTACCACTTGAACCACAGTGCCACTTCTGGGTTTTCTGGTGCTTTATTGGAGATAAGAGTCTCACAGATTTTTCTGCCAGGGCTGGCTTTGAACCACAATCCTCAGGCCTCAGTCTCCTGAGTAGCTAGGATTATAGGTGTGAGCCACCAGCACCCAGTGGTCTTCTTTACAATAAAAGAAAACTGGTGCCAAGCGCTGGTGGCTCTCACCTGTAATCCTAGCTACTCAGGAAGCTGAGATCTGAGGATCGAGGTTCAAAGCCAGCCCGGGCACAAAAGTCTGTGAGCCTCATCTCCAATGAACCACTCACAACACAGGAAATGGTGCTGAGGCTCAAGTGGTAAAGCGCTAGCTTTGAGCTGAAGAGCTGAGGGACAGCACCCAGGCCCAGAGTTCAAGCCCCAGGACTGACAAAAAAGAAGAAAACTAGTATACAGGGATTTTTTTCTTTTCATTCACTGGGATGGTTTTGATTTCATACTCAGAGCTGCTGAAGAAGGAAGACTTCATTATTTATCTTTATGTAGTTGGCCTTTGTTTTATTACGTTACTGTAAGGTCTCCCATTAAATTTCTTTCTTTTTGATGATACTAGGGTTTGAACTCAGGGCTTCATGCTTGGAAGACAGGTACTCTATCATATATACCACACTTTCAGCCTTTTTTGGGGGTTATTTTTTTAGATAAGGAGATCTTTAATGTTTTCTTTTTTTTCTCTCCTACTGTCAGCTGGGATCTATAATCTACCTACCTCTTGCAATTCCAGTAACTGGAGTTGCAGACAGTACCACCATGCTGGCTTGTTTGTTGAGATGGAGGGAGGGCTCACTTTCTGTCTGAGCTAGCCTTGAATCGCAGTCCACCCTGTCTCTATCTCTGAGTTGCTGGGATTGCAGGCATTAGCTTCTGAGCCAGCAATGGTGTGGGCTTCTTCTTCTTTTACATTTTTTTGCCAGTCCTGGGGCTTGAACTCAGGGCCTGGGCACCGTCCCTGAGGACTCTACCATTTGAGCCACAGTGCTGCTACTGGCCTTTTCTATTTATGTGGTACTGAGGAACCAAACCCAGGGCTCCATGCATGCTAGGCAAGCACTCCACCCCTAATCCCCATTCCCAGCCCATGGGTTTCTTCTTGTCCTGAGTTACAGGGGTATTCTCAGAGCGTCTATATCTGCACGTGTAAATCCTCTGCTGAGTAACTGGTATAAAATAGGAACCTTGTGCTGAAGGAGGTGTGTCAAGTTAACATGTTCCTTGGGAGGCCTGTGTGATGGGGTGGGGGTGGGGGGTGGGGACACCCTTGAAATGTTATCTGTTACCTTACTGATCTTCCTGTTGCAAGGGGGTATCCTACGGATCTGCCTGCTGGATCC